AGCGTGTCTCCTTCTCAGGTTTGTATTTTCTGAATGAGCTGCAACAGAAAATACATCTGTTTTCAGTCGTCTGTTAAATCTCACCTCAGAGGAAGAGACTGAACAGAGACGTCTAATTAGAGTTAAATCGTTTCAGAATCAGGTTCGTAACGTGATGTTTGTGTGACGGAGCGATAATGAGTGTGGCGAGGTCTTCGGTTAATCTCTCATCACAAACTGAAACCTGTGCTCTGATGATTCCAATGTCTTTTATTCCTAATCAGTTTATAATTCGCCGTGTTTTTTTGTCTCGTCAGTGCACGGTGTGGGACTGGGACTCGAACGGGAAACACGACTACATCGGAGAGTTCGAGGCGTCGTTCAAAGAGATGAGAGGCGCCATCGATGGGCGGCAGGTAGGAGAAGAGGACATCACAAACTCTTTCTGTTTCAACGTAAACATTATTAGGTGTGTATAGTTGCATTTAAAACAAAGGCATATGATGGTGCATTCAGGTGCTCCTCGGTTTGTCCCATTTCCTGAGGTGGGAAGTCGTTCTTCTTCGTGTTTATGAGCTTTAAGTGGCGATGTGGAATCACCGTGGACGCTACAAAGAACATGGAAGTCATTTTCAGATTATTCTGATCGGGATTTGACGTTGTTTTCTCAAAACCTTGATAGATAAAAAATGTATCCTAATAACTGAAAGCACATCATCGTTAAAAACAACCATAGCCATTATTTCAAAAAAGACTCACTCTTCCTGCAAAACAACAGAAACACACATGGCTAATTATTATGCAGAATCTTCTTGTCCCGCCCTCTTCTTCCTCTGATTGGTTAGCACACATTGACTCTGTGGTTGGCTGGTTGTTTAGGCCAATCAGAGGCAGAGTATGGCGGGTAAGGCCCATGCGATTGTTGGAAAGAAACATTGCTTCTTCTGCACAATCATTAGCCATGTGCTGATGTTTGTTGCAGGAAGATTTCGAAATAACGGACTTTCTGACAAGTAATGTGTTTGTACATGTTTGATTGCACTTGTCGTAGAAGCTTTGGATAAACGTGACAGCTAAGGATACGTAATGCAACAGAACACAAATATAATTGTGCGGTTAGAGACTTTTATTCACTTATTTTACCGTCATTTGAATTCTGATTTGAAATTCTGAATGTGAGAGGCTTTCTCTTATTGTGGACTGTCAGAATACTGATATCTAATGAGGACTCTAAACAAAGTCTAAAGCAGCGACCGTTTGACCGGCGTTATCTTGGAGCTACGTCGCTAACGTGTCTCCAAGCCTCCGTTAGCAGCAGACTTAAACCCCGGAGACTTTAAGGAGACGTGACCTGATCTGTGTGAGCTGCAGGCTTCCATTAGAGGGCCAATTAGCAGCGTGAGCGCCGTAACAACGCTCCTCCTCCGGGACGCTTTATGGAGACGGACGGCGCGAGGTAATTGCCCGGCGCGGCGAAGCGGAGGCAGCGCTAATGAAGACGCAGCTGTCTAGAGCTGCCGGACAGCAAAAACGAGGCAGACGCTAATTAAATTCCTCTCTGTTAGCGCTAGCGTGCTGTCTCTGCTGGATGTGAGCTTTCTCTAAAAACTCCCCAAAGAGGACAACACGGCTGACAACTCGGCATCTATGTGAGATTTCAGCGTCTTACTATCAGTGACCAGGGCTCTGTAAGGATCCCCTCATTAACCCCTCATCACCAACAGAACCATTTAAATGAAATCTCCCGAGGCATCTTCTGTTTTCTGTCACCTGGATTCAGGACACACTTTCTGATTGGAGCTGTGATGTTTGGAGTCTGACCTTTTTCTTTTTGTCAACAAATCTCAAGTTCAGACTCAATCCAACATGACTGTCTCACTTCCTGTCAGTGGCTCTCTGGTTGATGTAACCCTAGCATCAGAAGGAGTCATGTGACCACATTGTTAAAATAAGACCATAAAACATTTTAGGTAAGTTTCCAACAACAGAGACATTTGTTCAGCTTTATGATCCTGAACGTCACCAAGGTCCCAGCTGTGTGCGTCACTCTTTAGTGTCCCCTGTTCTCCCAGCTGTGTGCGTCACTCTTTAGTGTCCCCTGGTCTCCCAGCTGTGTGCGTCACTTTTTAGTGTCCCCTGGTCTCCCAGCTGTGTGCGTCACTCTTTAGTGTCCCCTGGTCTCCCAGCTGTGTGCGTCACTCTTTAGTGTCCCCTGGTCTCCCTGCAGTGTGCGTCACTTTTTAGTGTCCCCTGGTCTTCCAGCTGTGTGCGTCACTCTTTAGTGTCCCTGGTCTCCCAGCTGTGTGCGTCACTCTTTAGTGTCCCCTGGTCTCCCAGCTGTGTGCGTCACTCTTTAGTGTCCCCTGGTCTCCAGCTGTGTGCGTCACTCTTTAGTGTCCCCTGGTCTCCCAGCTGTGTGCGTCACTCTTTAGTGTCCCCTGGTCTCCCAGCTGTGTGTTTCTGCTGCCATGTCTCCTCAAGTTGCTGAAGATGTTTCTTCATGTGGAACATTAGTGTTTTTATATCTGCATCCTTTCTTGTGTTGAAGCGTGTTTGCATCTGGCGGCCCCCTGTACGGGGCATCTCTTAATTGAAGATTTGAGTTATTGATGTCAGCCGTGAAAGTCTGCTCAGTTATTCCGATGATGTGGAAGAAACAAAAGTCTGGCTGGGGATTTTTCAGTTGCTAAACCTTAAAAAACAATCCTCAAGGGATGAAAGGCAGACAACATGTAAAGTCAAAGAGCTCCACTAAGTGTGCTGACTAACCCGGGTTAAGAGGAGCTGATATGTCTCTGGGCTTTACCGCTGCCTTTTATTCAACTCGATGTTGTTCTTGTGTCAGACCCATTGACACAGGATCTACTTTTAATCCTCACAAGCGAGGAGAAGAAACAATGAGCAGTCAGTCGAGTCCCGTCGGGGAAACACCCCCCCCCTCCCCCGCTCTCTTCTTCTTCTTCTGTTCACCTTTTATTTATTGGCCTCCCTCCCCGCCTGACAGTCAGCGACACAGAATCCCTCAGAGCTAAAGCCTCCGGAGAGCTCTGTTCATCCTCCAGACCTCAGATTGAGTCTGAAGCGCTGCTCGTGTCCTCGCTTTCATGTAATGAAGTCAGAGTGAAGCCTCTGAGGTGTGTTTGGACAGATCTGTGGGTAACATGTCTGTCCGAGAGACTTCTCTCAGCAGGAATCAGGAGAGGAGGATGATCTTATAATCAGGCTGGGAAATTAACTGCAGGACATTTTCTGAATGATAGGATTTTGAGACTTGGTTCAGGGATGTGGTATTTCATTGTTGGTCCCTGAAGGCAGCACCTCCTGGTCCAATGGGATTTTTCCATGTGATTTTGGATTATGTCAGAACATACTCTGTATCAAACAAACGTTTATGACACTTACACATTTAGTTCAGCAGGATAATCTCCACATACTGTATTAACCACTTTATGATTTCTGAAGTAAAAAGCTAATGATAGGCTATAAAGGAACTACAGCACGGTCACATGACTTCACGTCACCACCGCTAAGCTAAAGGAGGCTAATGTTGGGCTATAAAGGAACTACAGCACGGTCACATGACTTCACATCACCACCGCTAAGCTAAAGGAGGCTAATGTTGGGCTATAAAGGAACTACAGCACGGTCACATGACTTCACGTCACCACCGCTAAGCTAAAGGTGGCTAATGTTGGGCTATAAAGGAACTACAGCACGGTCACATGACTTCACATCACCACCGCTAAGCTAAAGGAGGCTAATGTTGGGCTATAAAGGAACTACAGCACGGTCACATGACTTCACGTCACCACCGCTAAGCTAAAGGTGGCTAATGTTGGGCTATAAAGGAACTACAGCACGGTCACATGACTTCACATCACCACCGCTAAGCTAAAGGAGGCTAATGTTGGGCTATAAAGGAACTACAGCACTGTCACATGACTTCACGTCACCACCGCTAAGCTAAAGGAGGCTAATGTTGGGCTATAAAGGAACTACAGCACGGTCACATGACTTCACGTCACCACCGCTAAGCTAAAGGAGGCTAATGTTGGGCTATAAAGGAACTACAGCACTGTCACATGACTTCACGTCACCACCGCTAAGCTAAAGGAGGCTAATGTTGGGCTATAAAGGAACTACAGCACGGTCACATGACTTCACGTCACCACCGCTAAGCTAAAGGAGGCTAATGTTGGGCTATAAAGGAACTACAGCACGGTCACATGACTTCACGTCACCACCGCTAAGCTAAAGGAGGCTAATGCAGGGTTGCCAACTTTGGGTACCTGGCTGGAGTGAGATTTTGATATCATGGGTTTAATTCGGTTTAATTACACATATGCGCACGAAATGACTGCTATCGTGTCAGCAGCGGGACCTTAGCATATATATAGGATATATATACAATATATACAAATACACAATAATGGACACAGACTATAAAGGGCACACAGTTTCATTCACTAATGAAAGTCAAACATGTTTGTTTCCACTATTTTATTGTGTGCCTGTCGCGATAAGCAATTAATTGACTTATCGTACGATAAATAAAAATGAACTCGATAACTTTTCTGACCTCGATAAATTGCCATTTACATGAGGATGTGACTAGCAGTTTGAAAGGATGTACTTGAATTATTATTATATATTATCATTGTGTCAGTGGTCTAAAATGGTCATACAACGGTGCCGACAATATTATCGTTTATCGCAATAATTTCCGGGAAAATGTATCCAACAAAATTAATTATCGTGAGAGGCCTATACATGAAACACACACACACAAACAAATCTACAGACTTACTCCAAACTGCCAAATATATTAATTAACACACTCTCACTCTCATATACTCTTTGACTCTATTTTGGCCTAGTAGAACAATAAGCAGCAGACTTTTACTTTTTTATCATTTCTACTGGATCTTAGATCTGCAGTTGCAGTGGCGGCTCCAGAGTATTTTTGTTGGGTAATCTCTGGTAAGGCTAACCCATACAGTGGTGGGGCTCAAGTCAGTATTTGCAATGTAATTACATACACGCTCCCCCGACAGTGAAACGCCACGCGTGAGGTTTAGATTATTTCCCTGTCTCAATCCAAATTGAACTGTATGAAATAAAAAGGCACATTTGTCTTGTAGTAAATAAAAAGGGCGACCTGGAGCCAATCCTGCAACAGGTGAAAGAGTTGACATGCTGAAAACCCAACCCCTGCAGGGGGGTCTGGGGGGATTCTCCCCCAGGAGATTTTTTTAAATACTAACATCAAATACACATTCTGGTACTCTCTTGAGAAGAAAAATAAATAAATCTATTACTACATATTTAAAAAAATGAATGCCATTTTAGTTTTGTGTTACTTTGTTCTGAAAGCTGAACCTGCTGCTCCTCACAGAGAGAAGAGGGAAGAGGCTGTGTGAATTACTTTACATTGTGGATAAGGGTGGATAGCCCCCATTGTTCTGTGTGTCAAAATGAAAGACAGCCCACACACCTATCAATCATCAAACCGTGGGGTCTTATTTCATTACGTGTTGATTTCTATCAACACGTAATGTTGTATCGATGATATGAGATGTACTACCGCAAAAGTATTCTCCGTCGGGACTTCCTGCAACAACACCACGCCGTTATCGTGATTCTGATTGGCCAGAAGACATTATCAAAGATGTTCTAATGAGAAGACGATCACTACGTGACAAAAGTTTTCAAAACCGTTTCTAGTCTTCGTATTCTTGTTTTTGGCGTGAGAATAGTTTGGGCAGCGTGAGAGCGTGAGATTGAGAGTGAAAGCGTGTGTCACACGCCAGATGCGTGAGAGTTGGCAACCCTGGCTAATGTTGGGCTATAAAGGAACTACAGCACGGTCACATGACTTCACATCACCACCGCTAAGCTAAAGGAGGCTAATGTTGGGCTATAAAGGAACTACAGCACGGTCACATGACTTCACGTCACCACCGCTAAGCTAAAGGTGGCTAATGTTGGGCTATAAAGGAACTACAGCACTGTCACATGACTTCACGTCACCACCGCTAAGCTAAAGGAGGCTAATGTTGGGCTATAAAGGAACTACAGCACGGTCACATGACTTCACGTCACCACCGCTAAGCTAAAGGAGGCTAATGTTGGGCTATAAAGGAACTACAGCACGGTCACATGACTTCACGTCACCACCGCTAAGCTAAAGGAGGCTAATGTTGGGCTATAAAGGAACTACAGCACGGTCACATGACTTCACGTCACCACCGCTAAGCTAAAGGCGGCTAATGTTGGGCGTGATGACGTTTAGTCGTCTCATTTAGACACTTGTTAGCAATCTCTGTTTTTAAATTCACCAGTGGGGTATTTACTGATGTATTTTATGTCGTAGAACTAAACGTTAAAATCTCTTTAGCAGATCTTATTTCAGGATAACAACCAAAAACACATTCAGAAAACCATTGACCTCCAGACCAGGGGACAGGAAGTGAGGAAATGCTGAGTGATGGCGGGTGTTAGGACTCATTCCAAAGCTCCCTATATGATACAAACTCAAGAAATGAAACTCCGGGAGTGTTTTTCTTGATATACAGTATGTGTGTAATGTTCTTTTGCCCTTTGTTTGCTTGCAGGAGCAGTGGCCGTGCATGAATTCCAAATACAAAACCAAGAAGAAGAACTACAAGAACTCTGGGATCGTCATCCTGAACCAGTGCAAGGTGAACCATTATTACTTATTTTCTATTCCTTTAACTCGCGTTGTGTTCATGTGCTGCTGGGAAAACTGAATATGATATTATGAGATGTTTTATTACGACGAATTTATTACGAAAAATATTATATCAAATATATATAAGTAAGGGATAATGTGCAGCGAAGCGGTCATTCTGGGTAAAAGAACACCCGACAGGCAGATCAGGAGCCTGACGCGAAGCGGAGGGATCTTGATCAGCATGAAGGGTGTTCTTCATAATGACCGCCTCGCTGCACATTATCCCGTTTATTACACGGCCACATTCTCAACAAAGTAATGATATGACTCCCAATATTAATTGAAATGCTTTTATTGATTTAGAAAATGTTTTTATTGATTTAAAAAGTAGTTTTAATGATTTAAAATGACATGCATCCGCTAAGAAAAATAGTCCGCTGTTACCGTTTGAACTACGTAGCAACGGCAGGATCTGCTTCGATAGCGTTTTTGAGGAGCTTTTTGATTACAGATTTGAAAACATCGTTGCTTGCTTTAAAAGTAGCACACTTCATGATGTCACACCTTGGGAAGTATCTAGATATCCCTGCCCTAATGCCAAAGGAACTGCACACTGAATATGTGTCGCCATCTGATATCTGGACCGTTGCGTAAAAAGGACCGCAGCTCCGTGTTGAGGGTCTCTGCCCCGTAGCTGATCAGCTAGTCTTTAAATAGTTCCATAGCCCATAATGTGGTCCGTCTTTTCGCCTCTCTTACTTCTCTGCTGTTTTCTTGTCCCTTGTCTTTTTCTTTTCTTCGCTGGGGACTCATCAGCCACTAACCACTCATCCTGCGCTCTCCAAATATATTCAAATGAATATTAAAATCCTCCATGTTGCTCTCAGGCGGGGAGACAACGGAAAACTAAAGACAAGCAAACGGTTTGAAAAGCAAACTTTATACAGTTCAATCGACCTGACTCCTTTCTGCAGATGTGAGCGTCCTTGACAGCGGTCTGTACTACTGGATTGACAACGTGTCACGTGTTCTGAATTGACCAATCAGAATCGAGTATTCAACTAAGCCATGTAATAAAACAATATAAAATATTCCGGATATTTAAAATAGAAAATTAGAAACACAACAGGATCCAAAATACTACAGGTCTTTTATAAGAAAGGAGAAACTCAAACTATGAAGCAGTGAGTTCTCTGCAGTGAGATGTTAGCTGTTATAAAGGAGGAGTGCGAGAGCTCCTTTCTTTGAATGAAGTTGTGGTTTCTGCGGTTCAGAGATGGAGTTCCCCCTCCTCCTGGTGTTTGGTCTGGTTCAGAGATGGAGTTCCCCCTCCTCCTTTGGTCTGACAGACTGAGGTAATTATCGGGCGCTGAGCTGCCTGACATTTGCTGCCAGACGGAGCTGATAACATTTAACTCGATGACTCTCCACACACAAAGAGAGTCGCTCAGACCTCTCTTTGTGCAGACTGAGGAAGACGAGCTGCAGCACGAAGCACTGAGACTCATTTACACTTCATGCATGAGGGGGGGGGGGGGGGATTAAAGCAAGTGTTGTAAACAGGATGAGAGGTGCATGACAGAATGAGGTCTGCAGATACACAGTAACATTATTATCTGCAAGATCTCTCCAGGCAGGCTCTCATCTAATCAGTGACGCAAGACTTTGATCATTTACTGAAATAAAAGTAGAGATATTACAGTAATCCTCGGTTACAAGTGAAAGTCATGCATTCAAAATCATACTTAAAGGTGGGGTAGGTAAGTTTGGAGAAACCAGCTCGAGTGCGCTAGAATTTGAAAATACACAACCGGAGAAAATCTGCCACTTCCTTACAGAGCCCCTCCTCCAACACACACGAACGCGCACATGACCAATGAGGGCACGAGATCAGTTTGTGCACAGATGGAAGGCTGACAGGCAGGTAGGCCATCCAGTTATTTTAGCCGGGCCGGCTCAGATGATTGGTCGTGCTTTTTACAGTACTACGGCTTCCACAGATGACATTTATTTATGGATTTTTTGTCAAAGCACTTCAGATATTCATTGCTATCAGGATGTTAAGAGCATTCCATGGAATATAACAAAAAGTGTATCTCGAGCCGGTTTCTCAAACGTACCTACCCCACCTTTAAGTTAAAGTACAAAAATATGAACTTCAATCTGAAATTATTTATTTAATTTTGCTACAGTTGCTTCATTTAACACTGAAGTTAAGTTAAAGTAAGAATGTATCTATCTATCTATCTCTCTATCTATCTATCTATCTATCTATCTATCTATCTATCTATCTATCTATCTATCTATCTATCGATCTATCTATCTATCTATCTATCTATCTATCTATCTATCTATCTATCTATCTATCTATCTATCTATCTATCTATCTATCTATCTATCTATCTATCTATCTATCTATCTATCTATCTATCTATCTATCTATCTATCTATCTATCTATCTATCTATCTATCTATCTATCTATCTCTCTATCTATCTATCTATCTATCTATCTATCTATCTATCTATCTATCTATCTATCTATCTATCTCAGAAACCACATCTCCCATCTCTGATGTGAAGATCTGCTGCATCATTTCTCCGTTAGTGTTCGATCCACAGCGGGCAGCATTTAATACACTCTACCCCAAACTGATCCGATGGTGCTGATGAGCAGATGGCACTACATGTCTTTGAGTGGAGCCACAGAGGACAGTATAAACCAGTCCATTAACCAGAACCTGGAGACCCCCTGCAGATGTGTAGCTGCACCATCAGAGTCTGTGTGTTTATTAAAACATCACAATCATTAAAGAGTGGGTAGAGTGGGTGCTCGGTGGGATGAAAGAGAGAGAGACGTTGAAAAACACCAAAGCCTGATGCTCGTTTCCTGCAGGTGTGTTTGTGTGCAGGACTCAGAAGAGATGATAAATAAAGAGGCAGTGTGTGTGATGTTGACTTATAGAGAAAATGGACCCATGCAAACTGCAATGATGAGTTCAGGAACCCGGAGACAAATGATACGGCACAGCGGTAGACTGAGTCTAACATCTATACAGAAGCTGCACTTAGAAATGATCACATGATCCACGGCTAGAGAAAGGAGCTGGAGTCGTTGCTGTTGTTTCAGCTTGATGTTGTTGTGTGTTCAATGGACAGGAAACATCCGCATCATAACTCCCTTTAACTAAAGAGGACGCGTTCTGCTTCCTGTGGTGCTCCCTCTCCTGCTCTGTAGGTTTTAGTGCATGTCAATGGTCTGCAGAGGCTAACATCCCTGTGTTCCTCCAGAGGGAGTTCCTGTCTCACACACTTCCTCCTGCCTGCCTTCTATTTCTCTTTTGAGATGTTTATATTTTAGAATTGTTTATTTCTACTCTTTTAATTTGTTATTATGTTCAATGCCTTGTTTTGTTTTATGTTGCTGCAACAAAAGAAATGCCCAAATTGGGATTAATAAAGAACATCTTATCTTATCTCTCACAGTGACATCACTTCGCAACACTCACGCTCCTATTGGCTAGCGCTCCAACACATTGTACGTGATAGGCTAAGGGGGCGGGACATCTCTAAGCGGTTGACCAATCACAACAATATGAACCAGAACATGAATAGAATCGTAGAAAAAGAGTCCATTACTCCTCTAAGTCCGTTTGGTTAGGAGCTATGGTCTGAAGACGGGGATACCTTTCTGACATAACCCAAAAACACACGGAGGAATCCCATTGGACCAGGGAGATGCTGCCTTCAGGGTCCAACAGTTAAATACGTCATCCCTGCACCTCTTTGTAATGAATCTAGAATGGATGAAGGAGTCAGCTGATGCTCAGTTTGATGATATTTAAACTTTTAAAATATGAAACATTAATCTCCATGTCTGTTTCTTTCTGTCTGCAGATCATCAAGATGCACTCCTTCCTGGATTACATCATGGGAGGCTGTCAGATCCAGTTTACAGTGAGCACACACACACACACACACACACACACACACACACACACACACACACACACACACACACACACACACACACACACACACACACACTCACACACACACATTCCCATGTTCTCTGAGATCATTTCTGACGTTGCCATGGAGACGGTAACCATGGCAGCAGCCTCCCTGTGTCCCGGTTACCCCCGGCAACCTCTCGCTGGGTCTGAACCAGTTCAACCAGTACAGCAGTCTGAACGTTCTGCAAACTAGTGTTGGCAGGAAATGTAGTTTAAGTCACGTACAATGTGTCGGAGGAGCGCTAGCCAATAGGAGTGCGAGTGTTACATAGTGATGTCACAAAGCTTTATTGACTAACAGCGTTTCAACACTGGAGGAAGCTCCTGTTTAGTCATAAATCCACAGAAACAGACAGGAAGTGTTTCTTCTGCAGCTTCAAATCAGCTGTTTGTAACTTCCTGTGGTCTCCGGAGGACCAGTGGCGACTGGTCATTAGGGGCAGGTGGGGCACAGCCCCACCTAGTGTCAGCAGAAAGTATTACAAATAATGATTACAAAAATGCAAAAAAAAAAATAAAAAAAATATAAAATATATTTTAAGATCATGTTTAATCATCTGATTCGTCTGTACATTGCTGTTTTAGTCTGTGTTCTTCTAATTAGTGTGTCTACAGTCACAGTGTGTGCCTATTGAGCTGTTTAGAGCCATGTGGGACAAAACCTGATTATGCCCCTCCCTCTCGCTGTGAAGTGAACGTGACTGTAAAAACTACACTGCGCATGCTCAGAGTATTTTGTAATGAAATGTGTGTGGCAAAAAAATAATGACCAGAGGGGCATGGAGCTGCCATCCCCACCATACGTCATCTCAAATCATTCAGAGCTGATTGGCTGTAAGTACGTGTGCCGCGAAAAGTGTGCTGTGTGAAGAGGAGACGAGAGAGCTGCAGTGACGCGTCCTAAAACCAGGAAGTAAGCTGCGCATGGCTTCCCTCGACAAAAAAGCAATGAGATTTCTCCAGAGGATTTTAGAAAATAGCTGGAAATAAGATCTGTGGGAAACGTACCTGTTAGATAAATGCACGTTTTGTTCAGCCGGATAACATCCACATGTCTACCCTACTTTTATCATTTTTTTATCATAAATCTATGGATTAGATTTATGATAGACTTTTGAAACTACAAGAACATAAGGAGGACTTTTACAAAAAAGTTATAGAAATGTTTGTCCAGGAGGATAGGCAAATGGACTTCATCTTCAAGTCAAGGTAAGACCGCCATTTTATTGAAAATGGGATCTTACTAAGAGAGAACAATTCAATATTTAAATGATAAAATTACATTTTTTGGGTATCCTTTTGTTGAACTGTCTGTTTAATATTAATCGAAGCATCAGACAAAAAAAGCTTTTGAAAATAATATTATATTTTGGTTTAGGTCAAAATATAATATATGTAAACCTGAAGAGTCAGTGCCAGAGCCTCACCAGCCATGAACCTCACTGCACGTCACTGCAGAAGCTTATATATAGACATCTACGTTTTTTGTGCCCCACCACTTTTGTACATATAAAAACGCCACTGCGGAGGACGCTCAGTCTGCACGGCGTTTCGTTTCAGTCACTCTTCATTTCCCACGGAGAACCTGCTGACTTTATTTCAGGATAGAGGAAATAAATGATAAATGCATAATCTATAATTCAGAATATACCAGCAGAGGCAAGTTTTCCTTTATGAAACATTGATTTGTACATGCCTGTCCTAAGTGATGAAGCAGTACAAACAGCTGCTCCAACGTATGCTCACAACTGCATGCTTTACATTGAAAGGCTTAGGAAGATAACAACAAATCAATAATTGAGGAGAAAAGAATCTGACATTTTTCAAAAGGTTGAGAGGAAATGCCAAAAATTACAATAACAAAAAACTCTAAAAATATCACAAAAAATGTAGGGAGACCAATATTTTGCAAAAAAACATCTCATGTATAAAATGCTTTATTAATGCTTTAGGCTACAGACATACATATTTGTCATGATTTGAGTTTTGTGTGTTAAGTTTTGGGTTTATGTTGAAATTCTGTTCTCCCTGTGTCTCGTCTTCCCTCCTGTGTCTGATTGTCTGATTGTGTTCACCTGCTGCCCTTGTGTTTCTGCCTCCCCTGCCCAGCTGTGTCTTGTCCTGTGATTACCCTTCTGTGTATTTAGTCTTGTCTTCCCCTCTGCTCCATGTCGGTTCGTTGTATTTTCTCACTCTCCATGTTTGTCACTCTCCTCATGCTACCTGCTTTGTTTAAATAAAGCTCGCTTTTCTTTTGAAACCCGCTTCCCTTTTTAACTGCATTTGGGTCCTAATATTCCCGGATCCTGATAATATTATTTTGTTTACATAGTTTGACATAGCGCTGCTTTGAGCTAAATGCTAATATGCTAATGGTTAGCAGACTTCCACATGTGAGGAAACTGTACAAGGTCAATGGCTAACATTTTTTTGATAAAAATATCACAACAAATTTAAGGAGAAATCAAGCAATTTAACAAAACAATATTTAGCAAAACAAACAAACTAATAGATGCTTTATTAATGCTTTAGGCTACTTACATATGTTTTTGTTTACATAGTTTGACATTGTGCTACTTTGAGCAAAATGCTAATATGCTAAAGGTTAGTGGACTTAGTGCACAAAGTAACACAGTGCTGGATTACAGAACTTCCACTTGTGAGAAAACTTCACAAGGCTAACGGCTAGCATTGCTAACGCTGCTCTCTGATTGGCCGCCCGTGTCTGCAGGTGGCCATCGACTTCACGGCGTCTAACGGAGACCCGAGGAACAGCTGCTCGCTGCACTATATCCACCCCTTCCAGCCCAACGAGTACCTGAAGGCGCTGGTGGCCGTGGGCGAGATCTGCCAGGACTACGACAGGTAGCCGGAATATCAATGTTTCTGCTAACACTTTATATTGAAGGTCTCCTATCATGCACAAGTCACTTTTTAATGTCTTCTCTACATCAACATGTGTCCCCGGTGTGTCCCCGGTGTGTCCCCGGTGTGTCCCCGGTGTGTCCCCGGTGTGTCCCCCGTGTGTCAGGAGACTCTCAAAGTGTCAGGAAATAAACCCCTCTCTCTTTTCCTCCGTACCCACATCTCTAAAAACGGGGGAACAACGGAGCTGATCCAGATTTGCTGCGTCATGACGACATTACTAAAATGTGGGCGGGCTTTACACCCACGGGCCAATCAGAAACGTTGCTGTCAGAAACAACGAGACGTGTTCTGGAAGTAATATGGTCTGTGTTCACATTAGCATGCTAACACTCAGAGCTAACCTGTGCTGGAGAGAGCATGTGTGAAGAAGCAGGAAATGAAAAGGAAGTCACCTTGTGGTAAACCTGAGAGAGAGAAAGAGTTTGAGCTCCATGCTGTTTCAGAGAGAATCCTTCATGTGGTTTGGAACATGATATGGAGTTTAGTCACGGCAGCATTTAGCTGAGTTTCTGCTGGGAGAGTTCTCCTGATGAGATCTACTCTCTCTCTGAAGCTACTGACCCAGAGTCAGCTCTTTAGTAACAGCTGGGAGAGAGGGGGGGGGGGCTACAAGGATCTGTTTGGGGTTTGGAGCAGGACACTTCAGAGACATGTCCTTAGTAACAGCTGGAAGAGAGAGGGGGGGGGGGCTACAAGGATCTGTTTGGGGTTTGGAGCAGGACACTTCAGAGACATGTCCTTAGTAACAGCTGGAAGAGAGGGGGGGGGGGCTACAAGGATCTGTTTGGGGTTTGGAGCAGGACACTTCAGAGACATGTCCTTAGTAACAGCTGGAAGAGAGGGGGGGGGGGGCTACAAGGATCTGTTTGGGGTTTGGAGCAGGACACTTCAGAGACATGTCCTTAGTAACAGTAGTAACAGCTGGAAGAGAGGGGGGGGGCTACAAGGAGCAGGACACTTCAGAGACATGTCCTTAGTAACAGCTGGGAGAGAGGGGGGGGGGGCTACAAGGAGCAGGATACTTCAGAGACATGTCCTTAGTAACAGCTGGAAGAGAGAGGGGGGGGGCTACAAGGAGCAGGACACTTCAGAGACAGACATATTTTTTATATATTTGTATCTGAGAGCCATACTATATGCCTAAACATAGCGTGATAGGAGAGGTTACTTATTCACCATCAACTTGTTGTTAATGAACATATTAGAGACAAACTACCAGCTTACTGGTTATGAACGAGACTTCACTTTAAAATAAACATGTTCTGAGTTTAGACACAATCAACACTTATAGTTTCATGTCTTGTTACATAAGAATAGATCATATTTGATAAGTGTTATTATGGGAGAATTACTATTCTTGTGGTACTGCTGCCTCATTCGGCCCATATGGAGCATATTGAGGCCTAACAACTTCCTTACTTGCAACAAATCAGCACTAATTAGAGGGTTATTGGAAAAACTCTCAACTAATGGCTTATTACTTGTAGAATACGGTCATGTAGAATAAGGCATTAATAAGTGTTTTATAATGACTGATAAGGAGCCAATAAACTGCTAATATGCATGTTAGTTAACAACTAGTTGATGGTGAATTGGTGTACCTTAATATAAAGTGTTACTGAGTAAAAAGCTTTGTTCAAGAGACTCAAGGAAGAGTAACTTAAACACCACCGCCCTATTCTTGTATTTGCTTTTGAGTTGTATTCCTCTCTAGAGACAGAAACTAAAACCCCTAAGGCTTCTCTTTCTGTCCCACGCAGCCCTTTCTTTAATATTACATTTTTATGAGATCTGTTTTGTATTCTCTGTGCAGACTGAGCTCTTTGAAAGGCCTTCAGCAGAGTTCCTGAAGAGTTTGGTTTGAGTTTGGTTTTGATCATTCATTTGCATCTTGTTTTAAACCTGCATTAAAACACAGTCAGAAATTAGAAAGGAGTAAATTAAAAATGTCTGAAAAAACGTCCTCCTCCATCACCCAACACACAAAGACACACAGACGCAATTTTTACAATTAGCCTAGCTTAGCACAAAGACTGGAAGTAGGTGTGGAAAATATTTACAACACAAAACATTGTTATAATCAACAACTAAACAGACAGTCACTTTTATTTTGATAATGTTTGCAGAATTTGTGAAATAATGCATGTCAGGACATGGTTAGCCTAGCTTAGCAATAGCATTAAGACTGTAAGCAAGGTGGAAATGATTTACTGTATCTCAACACAGAATATGTTGAAAACGACTTAATTAGCTGCACGAAGAAACACTAAGTATTTTAGATGTAAGGTGTTTTGTAAAAAACAAACTGAAGAATACAAATTCCTTTTCAAAATAAGAGCGTCACCATTTAAGTGTCAGCAGGAATACAACTTAAATATTAAAGGGGACCTATTATGCAAAATGCACTTTCTGATGTCTTCTCTACATCACCATGTGTCCCCGGTGTGTCAGGAGACTCACAAAGTGATGTCTTCTCTACATCACCATGTGTCCCCGGTGTGTCAGGAGACTCACTAAGTGATGTCTTCTCTACATCACCATGTGTCCCCGGTGTGTCAGGAGACTCTCAAAGTGATGTCTTCTCTACATCACCATGTGTCCCCGGTGTGTCAGGAGACTCACTAAGTGATGTCTTCTCTACATCACCATGTGTCCCCGGTGTGTCAGGAGACTCACTAAGTGATGTCTTCTCTACATCACCATGTGTCCCCGGTGTGTCAGGAGACTCTCAAAGTGATGTCTTCTCTACATCACCATGTGTCCCCGGTGTGTCAGGAGACTCTCAAAGTGATGTCTTCTCTACATCACCATGTGTCCCCGGTGTGTCAGGAGACTCTCAAAGTGATGTCTTCTCTACATCACCATGTGTCCCCGGTGTGTCAGGAGACTCTCATAGTGATGTCTTCTCTACATCACCATGTGTCCCCCGTGTGTCAGGAGACTCTCAAAGTGATGTCCATACAAGGATCTGTTTGGGGTTTGGAGCAGGACACTTCAGAGACATGTCCTTAGTAACAGCTGGAAGAGAGGGGGGGGGGGGCTACAAGGATCTGTTTGGGGTTTGGAGCAGGACACTTCAGAGACATGTCCTTAGTAACAGCTGGAAGAGAGGGGGGGGGGGGGCTACAAGGATCTGTTTGGGGTTTGGAGCAGGACACTTCAGAGACATGTCCTTAGTAACAGCTGGAAGAGAGGGGGGGGGGGGGGGGCTACAAGGATCTGTTTGGGGTTTGGAGCAGGGACACTTCAGAGACATGTCCTTAGTAACAGCTGGAAGAGAGGGGGGGGGGGGGGGGGGGGGCTACAAGGATCTGTTTGGGGTTTGGAGCAGGACACTTCAGAGACATGTCCTTAGTAACAGCTGGAAGAGAGAGGGGGGGGGGGGCTACAAGGATCTGTTTGGGGTTTGGAGCAGGACACTTCAGAGACATGTCCTTAGTAACAGCTGGAAGAGAGGGGGGGGGGGCTACAAGGATCTGTTTGGGGTTTGGAGCAGGACACTTCAGAGACATGTCCTTAGTAACAGCTGGAAGAGAGGGGGGGGGGCTACAAGGATCTGTTTGGGGTTTGGAGCAGGACACTTCAGAGACATGTCCTTAGTAACAGCTGGAAGAGAGGGGGGGGGGCTACAAGGATCTGTTTGGGGTTTGGAGCAGGACACTTCAGAGACATGTCCTTAGTAACAGCTGGGAGAGAGGGGGGGGGGGGCTACAAGGAGCAGGACACTTCAGAGACATGTCCTTAGTAACAGCTGGGAGAGAGGGGGGGGGGGGCTACAAGGAGCAGGACACTTCAGAGACAGACATATTTTTTATATATTTGTATCTGAGAGCCATACTATATGCCTAAACATAGCGTGATAGGAGAGGTTACTTATTCACCATCAACTTGTTGTTAATGAACATATTAGAGACAAACTACCAGCTTACTGGTTATGAACGAGACTTCACTTTAAAATAAACATGTTCTGAGTTTAGACACAATCAACACTTATAGTTTCATGTCTTGTTACATAAGAATAGATCATATTTGATAAGTGTTATTATGGGAGAATTACTATTCTTGTGGTACTGCTGCCTCATTCGGCCCATATGGAGCATATTGAGGCCTAACAACTTCCTTACTTGCAACAAATCAGCACTAATTAGAGGGTTATTGGAAAAACTCTCAACTAATGGCTTATTACTTGTAGAATACGGTCATGTAGAATAAGGCATTAATAAGTGTTTTATAATGACTGATAAAGAGCCAATAAACTGCTAATATGCATGTTAGTTAACAACTAGTTGATGGTGAATTTGTGTACCTTAATATAAAGTGTTACTGAGTAAAAAGCTTTGTTCAAGAGACTCAAGGAAGAGTAACTTAAACACCACCGCCCTATTCTTGTATTTGCTTTTGAGTTGTATTCCTCTCTAGAGACAGAAACTAAAACCCCTAAGGCTTCTCTTTCTGTCCCACGCAGCCCTTTCTTTAATATTACATTTTTATGAGATCTGTTTTGTATTCTCTGTGCAGACTGAGCTCTTTGAAAGGCCTTCAGCAGAGTTCCTGAAGAGTTTGGTTTGAGTTTGGTTTTGATCATTCATTTGCATCTTGTTTTAAACCTGCATTAAAACACAGTCAGAAATTAGAAAGGAGTAAATTAAAAATGTCTGAAAAAACGTCCTCCTCCATCACCCAACACACAAAGAAACACTGACGCAATTTGTTTACAATTAGCCTAGCTTAGCACAAAGACTGGAAGTAGGTGTGGAAAATATTCACAACACAAAACATTGTTATAATCAACAACTAAACAGACAGTCACTTTTATTTTGATAATGTTTGCAGAATTTGTGAAATAATGCATGTCAGGACATGGTTAGCCTAGCTTAGCAATAGCATTAAGACTGTAAGCAAGGTGGAAATGATTTACTGTATCTCAACACAGAATA